ATTTACACTGCCTCCATGCTTTCCTTTCTTCCTACATTTCCTCTCTGATTACAGTCTACAGTTGGTCTTTCTTAGGCCTCATGCACAGCTCTTCTGGCAGCAGAAAAACACTAAACGCGTGTAAATGTGGTACCGTGTTTAGCTGCATTTAACCACATTTAGTGCTTGGACATTTATTCATTTGATTGGCAGGAGTATTTTCCATTAACATGAATAAACGTCCAAGCACTAAATGCAACTATCATTTTAAACGCTTTACACCCTGTTTTTGCCACTTTTAGAGTTTTATGGTCAAAACGTTCCTCTCCTGAGCATGATTCTTCTGCGTTCAGGAGCATAATGTTTAACTGCCTCTAAATTCGGCAGCTCCGGGTAAAAAAGCCTATTTGTACATGGACACACAGGCTTTTTTTGAGTTGAGTTCAGGACTTTGGCAAAAAAACCGCCAAAGGCTCATAAACCCATGTTTAGCAGCAGTGTACATGTGGCCTTATTTTGTTTCTTTCTTCAAGCCCTGTAGTAGGGCCTGAATTGTTTGAGGTCTACCTACAGTATATGATAATACTCATGACTACATATACAGTAACTGTCATGGCCACATAGCGGTTAGACTTAGTGAAAGAGCTTTGCATGGAACTGTTATGTGGTTATACTTTATCATTTCAGCCCTTTCAAGCTGGATTCTTCTCTGTATGTTGTACAAAATGTACCTCTGAATGTCCGAGTTTAATTCAAAAAAGTATTGAAATAAAAAATAAATACAGCTAGAGCATCCCTTTAAGAATTTGGAAACATGACCTTTTGGTTAAAGAGGGCCTTTTTATAAATGTCGTTGGAAGACGGAGAATTTTCAAGGCATATTAAGTGGTTTATTTACTTCAGTTTGCTGTGGCTGCGCATAGTGTTGTACAACTCCTTAAGCAGATTGATTGGTCAAATATAGGTTGATCATGATGTGTTCATACAATACTCCATATTTCTGTGTGTACACGTGACACAACTGCTTATATTGTCAACCTGAGGTTTGGCTTGGGTGCTAAACATCTGAATCATTTACGGTTGTCTGTGGTCATTTCTGTTAGTGATTATGCCACCAAGCACCAGACCCACACTTCAAGTTGAGTGTTTACTTTTTCACTTGTGTGACGGAGTTAGCTAAAAGCCTTTAGCCTTGGATGAAATAGCATGTTTAGTGAATTTAAAGGCCTGTTTTACACCCAACTTGCACTTCTACTGTTTAATACATTTAAGGAGATACCCACCTAGACCTTCAATTTATGTTAGTCAATGTATTGAAATGAAAATGTATTGTATTGTGTAGCATCTCAATACTCATAGGCAGTGGTGTATTTAGGATTTGTGCTGCCCTAGGCAACACAAAAATTAGACGCCCCTTCCCCCTCTCCCATGGAGAGAGCTTGGCAATGACCAATAACACCCCTGCCCTATCACCCCCCCCCCACCTGAGAGAGCCTTTCACTAACACCCCCTCACCCCTGAGCTACAGAGAAGCACTCGCCATTACAGCTCTGGACATCCCCGTGAATGACAATCGGGCTCTGCATACACCATCCAGCAGTCCGCAGCCTCTCTCAGATCCCATCTGGTCCCCATGCTGCATATGTCCCTTCTTCCAGGGAGAAGTGCTGCCCTCCTAAAAAAAAAAAAATAAAAAAAAAAATACACCCCTGCCTATAGGTCTTACTTCTTGGGATATATTATTTCTAACTGCTTCATTGCTTGTAAGAGTTTGATTCAGTTTTTGGTTGCTATGATATCGCTGTCCAGCTATGTGGTACATAGTTATTTCTTTCCAAGAGAAGTATACAGTTGTCATCTGCTATTTTTTATAGTGGCGTTCATAGTAGTATTTTTGGGAATGTTATTTATAGATCATGTTTATTGTTGACAAAATGTTGCGTACCTGCTACAATCATAGAATCTGCGTGGCACTAAAAATACATTTATCCTTTGAATTACTAACATCACATTGGTAAGATACATGGATGAAATTGAAAGTCACTATATAAAGCCCTCTCCTAGAGTGTGTGTGTATTTGTACAACTTATTAGGCAAGGTGTTGTTAGTGCTAAGACACCGACTTTAAAGCGTAGTTCCACTTTAGAAGTTAAATTTGAGAAAACGACTGTTTATTTGTTCCCATTCACACAGCATACTCAAAAATATTTTTTAATATATTTCTTACCTTTCAAGTTGTTTCTTTGGAGCAGGCCTTTGGGCAGACTGCAAGCTACTCTGAGCAATTTTAAAGTGAAAATGGAGTGCGAAATTGGGGATAGACAGTTTGCCTTCATTAACATACAATGCAAAATCCAAGCCTTTTATCCTTTGTTAGGACAGACAGTGATCAAATTTAGTTTACAACTGATATTGAAATCTGCCGGCTCAGTATAGCCAGGGCAAATTATGGTTCACATAACTCCACAGCTCCCTCTTTAAAGTTTTATAGCAGGGGAAACTTAATCTTTGGAGTTTTCAAAAGAGTAAGCAAAATGTAAGCAGCAATTTTTATTTATCTTTTTTAAAATGGTTCTAAAGCCTAAAGCTGATTTGCCTTAATGCATTCCTTGCATTAAATTGTTACTAAACCCACAATCGTAAAATCAGTCTGTGTATGCAATAAAGCATGCTTGTTATATTCACTGTGGAACCTAAGGGGTTAATCCTCCGCATTGTGTAAAAAAGCTGTTTGATCCAATCTGCTCTGATCCTCCCCTTCTTTCACGGTCCCAAATCCATCTGCTGATCGTACCCTAAGAGACACTCTGCACATGCTCAGTTTGGTGTGTATTGCTAGAGAGGTTTTTTGTTTGTTTTTGGGGGAAGGGGGTGTGTATGTGATCAGCACATGACCAATCAGCACTGTCCAGGCAGAGGGTCAGGGGTCATGCAGCCTCATAGGACAGTCAGAAGAGAATGAAAATTCCTTCTACAAGATCAACCAGTGCTCAGCCAGATATTGATAGAAATCACAAGAAAGCTGTATACTGCTGATGAGAAAAGGTATTTTGCAGTTTATATTTACTAAAATAATTACATTTCCATGTTCTGTGTACTTTGGGAGACCAGATACAGTGAATGCAGGATCATCAGTTAACTAACACTTTATGGTAAAAACATGTTTAGGTAGCAGTATGCCCCCTCACCGTCCCCTTATACTTACCTGAGCCCTTACTTGATCCAGTGCTGTGCCCATCTGCAGATGCTCGCTCTCTTCTCCCCACTCCCCATTGGCTCCCACTGCTGTCAGTCAAATCCTGTGGCGAGGGAGCTGGGTGGGTGGGGCCAAGCTGCACTGTCTGTGTCTATAGACATATAGGCAGTGCAGCTTGGGAGCAAGTCCACAGGTGTGCTACAATAGGAAGCGGCTTCCTATGGTGGCACACCAAGAAGAGGAGCCAAGAGCTCCGGCAGGGGACCCCAAAAGAGGAGGCCCAGGACTAATCTTTGTATTTCCATTTAACAGAGCAGGTAAGTATAAACCTGTTATTTTAAAAAAAAATAAAAAATAGTGTTTACAATCTTTTTTAAGTTATGCTATGTGAATGGGGTCATGTTCCAAATAAAAAGTATATGTTATCCCAATTCATCTGCAAAACTGGAAACAGCCTTTAAGTTTTTATGTAATTACTTATTGCCCATAGCTAAGCTAACAATTAGATTTTTTCCTTACATTTTTAAATCTGTATTGGAAAATCATTGTAGGTGACTGACTGGTGACCAGCAGCATAAATCTAAAGCCAGCCATACATTGATTGAAATTTGGTTGGTCCATCAGGGACCAGCCAAACTTTGATCCGTGTATAGTCAGGCTGGTTGGATCAAGTGACTTGTGTACAACCAGCCTGTTGGAAATTTCTCTTGATCAGCCATACTGGCTGTGTGTATTCTGATGACAGGGAAATCTCCCCCCGCTGTCAAAATACAAAGGCTCAGCAGGAAGGTATTCCCCCATCCACATCAAGTGTGTGGGTGGGGGAATGGAATAATTTTGTTCAATCAGCAGGTCAAACAAAAGAAAATGAGTCGTGTATGGCCAGCCTTGTAAGGACCAATGGCAATACTAATCTTGTGTTTTAAACAATATAAAGTATGATCCTTGGAAGGTATAGGAATTGTGTAGATTTCTAACTGTAAATAATCTCTCATTTTTTTGATAACTAGACATGTTTAATGTTTGCTGATTGTAACACGATATAATAATTTACAATTCTCTCTATAACTGTGAGAACACTTCCTGACCTTTCAAACATGCATGTTGTGTCTTCTTAAATCTAAGTTGATTTTCCTGAGTCTGTGGACTTGTCTTCACGTGCCCAGGCTGACCTTGTTTATAATCAAATGTTTCCTTTTTTTCTTTTGTTGAACATTACTTTGAAGCACAACTTGAATTTCCAGTCATTTCAGTGATGAGTGTTCATATAAAAGTTAGAGTTGTGAATTACTCCCATGGTTATATCAGTAAAAACATCTGCCGTTTAGGGATAATTAAAGTACATCTTTTTAAATATGGCAGCACTTGTATTGCTGACACAGTAATAAAATTGAATTGATGTTTGATAGGCTATAAATAAGCATGCACATTTTTGCCTCTCCCTCAAAAGTCGTGGCAAACATAACGATCCTATACAGAAAAAAACTTGGTCAAACCTTTGTTCAGGTATTAGCTTTAAGAATACAGTAGCCCAACTTGGAGATTAGTCCATCTATTCTCTTAGCGTGGTTAGAGGAATCTGTTAGATTTTATTTTGTTCAGCCTACAGGCTGACCGATAGAAATCCATGTGTTTGATATTTGAGCTTGCTGCTTAATATATCCCACCTACTTTCAGATGTCATTGTAACGAAATAATCAATGTTGTTCAATTTACCTGCCAGTTGTCATGATGTTATGGCTGATCAGTGACCACTTGATTGTAATTTCTGATTAATACTAGAAATACAGTTTCCCTAAAATGAAAGCTATTCTCTGCTTTACAGATCTCCGTGACCAGTGTTCATCAAAGCCCTGTCACAAAGCTGGATCATATTTATGTAGAGATCTTCAGGGAGACTTCTACTGCAACTGCAAGAAAGGATGGACAGGGAAAACCTGTTCCACTGGTAATTAAGTTCACTTAAGTTTCTTTTTTGTATTGCAGCTTATACATTTTTTTTTTTTGTGTTCAACCATAGGGTTGAAGGAAAAAGAAATAATCTGATTTCCCCCATCCACACATTGGACGTGTTGGATGTGGATGGGGAATCCTGCCCACTGTGTGTCTGACAGTGGGGAGCCTTACCCATTGTTAGAATGCAATGGTTAGTGTTGCCAGCTATATCCTTGTCAGTCATTTTTGTATTCTTATCTAGTTTTTCAAAAAGAACAAAATGCCCCTAATGTTTGTTTTTAAAAATAACATGCTAGAAAGTCTGCCAGTTGAGTTAAAAGCATTTTTTAAGTCACAAAACAGAATTTTAATATATGATTGCTTACCAGTCCTTAAATGTGGTGGTTACATTTCTTTAACATTTTTTTTTCCTTTATTTTCACCTGGTGATCCAGCCAGTAACACACTTCTTGTCTTATGGTGTCTGCACTCTGGATGCCCCCTTAGACAGCAGCATTGTTGGTATGGGGAGAAGGTTGTATTGGTGGATTATTATCCACTTGCCCACTGGAAGATTTACTCTCCTTCATGACCAGGCTATTTATTGCACTACACTAACCGACACTGGGTGAGAACTGACTAACTGTTACTGACCTCTCCAGTGACACTAATACAATGATCAGTGCTAATAGCAGGGGCGGACTGACAACTCATGGGGCCCCCGGGCAATAGGGGATCATGGGGCCCCTGCGTCCTTGACCAAACTCAAAAAAAGCCTGTGAAAAAGGTACCAGGGGCATCTCATGGGGCCCCCTACTGACCCCGGGCCCTCGGGCAGTGCCCGAGTTTCCAAATAGTATACACTGTAACTGTACTAATGACACAGGGCAGGAAGGGGTTAATGTCTGGGGAGATCAAAGGGTTAACTGTATACCAGGGAGTATTATTGTGTGTGTACAATGTGCTGTTTACTATGGGATGTGCTGGTTTTTGAGATATATACACTTTAATCCTATTGTCGGCTTATGTGCATTTGTCACTTTTCAGTATGTGCAGCTAGGTTCCAAAGAGGCCAAATAGTCAGAGCTCTATTTGCAGATTCATTGGTTTAAACCAACAAAATTATTCATTGTGAGAAGATGAACTCATAGAAAATAGGGTGGTGGGCAATCTGGTGCTAGCTGACGCTGGCTGGGAGGTGCTCTAACTGATAATGACATAAAGTAATACTGTACACTGTCATTGTACTAATGACACTTGCTGGGAAGAGGTTAACATCTAGGGGCAATTAAAGAGTTAACCATGTGTCGTATGTGCTGCTTTTACTAATATGTGGCTGTCTTTTCCCCCTGCTTTGCAGGGGAGAAGAAACAGCCACATTGCTGCTCTGTATACAAATCCCTGTGTTTGTATACACAGAGTTTTGTGGCGTGATTGGCCGATCAGCAGGTCCCGGTCATAAATGGAATGGCATGGTATGGGGCAGGGGGCATGTGCATGTGACCTATACCCAGAACAGCTGGATCATGTACATGTAAATGTACTGCAGGTGGTCCACAAGTGGTTAAATATGTATTGCTTTATCAAGCAATACTTCATTATTTTAGGTTTGCTCCACTACCAGTATTGTTGTCTTTTCCCCAAATTATTTGCTAGTGTGTCAGCTTCAAGTATTGGAGGTGGACAGCAGGTAGTCCAGTGCTAGGCTATGATTGGTTGTTATAACAAATTTATTGCTATAGATATTAGAATATCCTATGCAATTAATTCCTTTAATTATTTCTGCAGATGTTAATGAATGTGCGGTCCGGAATGGAGGCTGTTCTCACTATTGTATTAATAAGCCTGGAACATACCACTGTTTTTGCCAGAGTGGCTTTCAGCTTCTCAAAGACAATAGGACTTGTGAGGGTAAGGATTTACACTATATTCTATTTAATATTCCAAAGGACATTGCAAAAAACTAAGTTTACTGTATGCAAATGGTTAGTACTTCTGTTTAGTCAAACCAATAACTCAAGACCATAACCTGAGTATGAAAGAATAAACACTAAAAATAATCTTAATAAAAAATCCATTTTACTTGCGTGAGGCCAATGCCTACAGCCTAAGTACCTGGGTTCAGATCATTTGCGGGCACCCAGTTTGGTGCAAACTGTAAAATGTACAATTATTAACACATTTCCAAAGTTTCCCTTTTAGAAAAGTATTACTGACACATGAAGTGAACATTTGACAGAGAGATGTTTGTTTTCTTTTACTAGGGTCAAAAGAATGAGATTCTGTAGACTTCATGTGAGAATTTCAATTACATTTTAAGTGGCATAGAAGTCTCCTGACCCAGTTCCAGCAAGTAAGGCCACCCAAAATTTGCCAGCGGAGAAGCAAACAGGTTGCAAAACCTTTTCTGATGGTAGCATGCATCCTTAATTTGACCTTTGGTGGTACCAAAGAAAATCAGTCAAGTGTTGTGTAGGCTGCCAGTGTTCTTTTCTAGTCTTTATACTATTTCTGTCCATTATGCATTTGGATTATTGATTGAAGCCAGTGGAACATTTTATACAGATAATTCTCTGGGCAACCTGTTATTAAATAATCCTATCAGATGCACCTTAAAAAATATAGAACCAAATTATATTTCACCTTGATGCTGCTCACGTTGATATGTGTTTCCCACACTTGGCAAAATTAATTAATAAAACGTGCAGTGCAACTTACTGTAGTTAAATACTTCTATGTACACCAACATGTGTGTATATATCCCTTAATAGACCTCACTTTACCCTATATATCTGAATTTGCTGTATCCAAATCAACTAGAGAGACAAATTGAAAACTAAGTGATAAATAATAAAACCAACTATTTTCCATGTGGCATGTACGTATATTTTGAATAAATATAATAATATGCACAAAAGTCCTCAACATAAGTCCTTGTGTTAATACAATATATCCACTGTGTGCTCATTAATTGCTAGTGCAATATTTCCCAAGTGAATTCCACCACCTTTCACTCCATTTTGAAGGGGTCTCACTCACCTCCTCTAGGGTCCCTTCAAATTTGCCAACAAATCACCTTTTCTCTTCAGAACTTGTGGATAGGAACAGCCATGTAACACAATACTTATTAAGCAGCTGCTCCTCTCAGACATTCAAAAACTTCCATGGTGTTTTACCACTTTAAAATTTACACTTTATTAAAATAGGAGTTACAGTCACAAATATCTGCTCTAAATTTTAGTGCACTACCATTAAGATCACGTTATATACAGCTACATTGCACCTGTAAGATATAGACTTTGGCATCACCTCACAACCACTCTATTCGGATATGTCTGGGAATGCGTTATAATGTCACTAGGCTCACCACAAATCAGAATAACAACCAGGAAAATAACATTTTCAGAAGGAAAAGTCCGTCTTGGAAGCTCTTCTATTTTTTTTTATTACATGGTTACTTTAAGAAAACATTCAGTTTACCACACTGATTAATCTTTTTATAGCAACATCTTATTTTTCATCACTTTACACAATACATGGACCATTCATATCAGCCATGGAAGAATGTATAGTCTAATACCCATAAAAACGTCTTCAAAACATGGGGGGAAAACCATAGAAGCAGGGAAGAGCATATACACTACAAGAAGGAGTTGAACTCAAGCCACTGAATTTCAATAGCAAAAGTGCAACATCTGACTAAGAAAATGTACAGGATAATGAAGGCCATAAACAATAACTAATGTTCAGTCCTACACCTAACAATTTGTAAACCTTAAAGCATTTTTAAAGGTTTCGATTTTTTTTTTTTCAAATAACAGACATGTCATACGTTACTGCTCTGGGCAATGGTTTTGCACAGAGCAGCCCTGATCCTCCTCTTCTTGGATCCACCACCAGTAGTCCTGGTCCCCCCCCCCCCCCCCCCCCCCCCCCCTCTGATTGGCTATCACAGTGATCAGTCACTGTATAGCCCGCCCCCTTGTTTGTTTGTTTTTTTCTCTATGAATGGAGAAGAGATGCATTGTATCTCTCTAACTCCTGGCATAGAGAAGAAAAAAAAAATGTTTGTTTGAAAAAAAAAAAAGATAAATAAAAGAAAAAATATCTAGATCAAGATTTGATCTAGTTCAGTGCCAAGTTAAGTGTTTGGGTCAGGGTCAAAAGGTCAGGATTTTTTTTTTTTAATTGGTGTCTGTGTTTTTAGGTAAAAAAAAAAAAAAAAAAACCCAAAAAATGCGCACTATTATTTCTGCGCTGTACTACGGGTACAAACAACAAATAACATACACATATATGGTATCGCTGCGATCATCAAGAGCTGGAAAATTTATTTTGGGTTGTTCTTTGGTGGTAGGTTATGGTAGTAACAAGAAACACACAGCTAAATTTAAAAAAAAAAATTTTTTTTCACTATTTTGGGCCAGTTTTCCTTTGATGATAAAAAAAAAATCAGGAGATATCCATTACCATTTACCACCAAATGAAAGCCCAATTTGTCCTGAAAAAAAACAAGGTATAATGCACCTGGATGTACAAAGTAGTTGTGCTGATATGTACAGTTTTACTAACACATGTCAGCGTTGCAAAATCGTGCTTGGGCATTAAGATTTGTTTTACCCTTAGGTGTGAAGGGGTTAAACTGCAAGTGAATGGGGGCCACAATGCAACAGTGTGCAATGCATTTAGCTGTGTTTCGGTCTTTAAGGGGTTAAAACAGGCAGTGAGGAGGACACATAACATATCCCAACTGCCTGTCAAATGCCCTATGAATAGCGATCCTCTTCAGAGGGAAACGCTAATATAGATGAGCCCTAAGTGTGTACCTAGAGCGGGTGTCGGCAACCCGCGGCTCCAGAGCCGCATGCGGCTCTTTTTCATCTTTGCTGCGGCTCCGGAGCACACTGCCCACCAGGTGACAGGCAAGAGGGTTTCAGTGGTCGGCAAGCCGCGGATCGCAAGCCACATGCGGCTCTTCTGTGTGCCGGGCGCCCGCTCCCCTCCCTCCTCTCGGGCGGCCGCCTCAAAAGTCAGGACTCTTTTAATCCGGCCCGCGGAGCGTGGAACATTAGCTGTCAGGATGTAGGCGGGGCAGCCAGGATGTAGGCGGGGCAGCGTGATGAACTCCTCTCACAGTCCGCCCTGAAGACCGGAACACAGCGCGGGAACACAGCGAGAGGAACGCGCGGAGCAAAGGTAAGTGAATTGAGACAATATGGGGAATTAATTACTATAGGGGGGATGAATTACTATGGGGGATGAATTATTATATGGAGGATTAATTACTATGGGGGATGAAATTACTATGGAGGATGGGGGATGAATTACTATGGGGGAATTACTATGGGGGAATTACTATGGGGGATGAATTACTATGGGGGATGAATTACTATGGAGGATGAATTACTATGGAGGATGAATTACTATGGAGGATGAATTACTATATGGAGGATGAATTACTATATGGGGGATGAATTACTATATGGGGGATGAATTACTATATGGGGGATGAATTACTATATGGGGGATGAATTACTATGGGGGATGAATTACTATATGGGGGATGAATTACTATAGGGGGGATGAATTACTATGGGGATGAATTACTATGGGGGATGAATTACTATATGGGGGATGAAGCTAACGGCACGATCCTGTATATAGCATTAAGGTAAGAAACAATATATGCAGTGTCGGATTTGTTTTAAATGTTGCAATGGTTTTGCGGCTCCCAGTCTTTTTTTTCCCTTCGGAAACGGGTCCAAGTGGCTCTTTATGTCTTAAAAGTTGCAGACCCCTGACCTAGAGAGTTGTTCAGATTTTTTATCCTAGACATTCTTGCAATACACCAGTCCATGCAAGTCCCTGAAAAAGACCAATTTTACTCAGATCAATCTGCGTTAAACTAGCCCTGAATTTGATGATAATGCTGCAATTGAAGGAAAAATGGAAGTTCTATAGTACAAACTTCACAAAGAGTTGCGTGTATCTATTCTGCATCGGATTACACAGAACACAGATAATGGTAATTTGAGTAACTGTTTGTGTGGTTACTGGGTAACATTAGTAGCTCATTTAATTTCCCTGGAGTTGCTCTTTAATATTCCCCCTTTTTCTTAAAAATAGGGCAAATCTCTCTAGTGTGAAAACTGGCAGACAGCAATAAAAGCATGACAGTGGTGCAAACCCTTCTCTACTCTATCCAAAACTAAAAAAAAGGTTTGGTCTTTCGATGCATTTGAAGCTCTGTCTCCTTGAACAGATGACAAAGAAGCAGACTTATCTCTTTCTGGGAGGGGAAGGGAGTTTTTATTATTATAACTAGGTATTAAACATATACTGTAGCAAGTTCCCGTAAAGTGTAACAAACCGATCAAGCAGAACAGCTGTGGAAGGGAAAAAACAGCTTGAGCTCCTGCAAGAATATTACTTTCCGTATTGTTTGCTGAGATAAGCTGTCACAATGAACAAATGACTAACAACCACACTAGATTGTGATAACTGCAGCATGATCAGATGCAGAGGGGGGACTTGGATACAGGCATTCAGAATCCACACAGGTAATTAGAAGATCTCACAGAACTCTTAGAGACCAATGTATATACAGTATTGTATTGTAAAATATATGTATGTAACCAGCCAAAATGGCTCATGTATTAAAGCCTAATTTAAAAAAAAAAAAAAAATCAACTGAAGGGACATTATTTACTATCAATGAAATGTATCCATTGTGCTGCTGGTTCTTGCTTTAGCAGAAAGCTTCCTCCTCCCAATTTTCACCCCCATCCCCAACCCCAACCTCACCACTGTGGTCTCTATGTTGTAGGTGTTAATAGAGCTGAGGGACATGTTGTATGCTGTCATCAAGAGTGCCAGACTAGGCCTGTCCTTTCCGCCCAGCTCCTCCATTCATTGAAGCTGTACTTTAGCTTCTATGAATAAAAAAGCAATCCATGAATAAGGATAAACAGATGAATGAAAGTCCACCTCCTCTATCCAAGATTGCTTTTTCTTCATAAAAGCTATAGTACAGCTTCTATAAATGGAAAAGATGGGCATAGTAGGCACTCCTGATGAGTGCCTGTCACAGGTCCCATGCCTCTAGTAACCCCAGATCAGATGCTTATGGTGTGGGGGCCAGAGGATGGAAGATTTCAACTAAAGCAGGAGCCAGCAGAACAAGGCATGCATCACACTGATCGTAAGTCCCTTGTGCTGATGTTTGATTTATTAATGTATTTTTTTAATGAACTTGGGTTTTAACCACTTGCCTACTGGGCACTTTTTACCCCCTTCCTGCCCAGGCCAATTTTCAGTGTTCAGTGTTGTTGCACTTTGAATGAAATTGCGCTGCCATGCAACACTGTACCCAAACAACATTTTTTATCATTTTTTTTAGCCAAATGGAGCTTTCTTTTGGGGGCATTTAATCACCACTGGGTTTTTTATTTTTTACAAACTGAAAAATAAAATACTGAAACTTTTGAAAAAAAAGTTTTTTCTTAGTTTCTGTTATAAAATTTTGTAAATAAGTAATTTTTTCTCCACTGATATGCGCTAATAAGGCTGCAGTGATGCGCACTGGTAGACGGCACTGGTGGGCATTGAAAGGCAGAACTCATATATAGCACTGATTGGAACTGATAGGCGGCACTGAGGGGCGCTGATAGGCGGCACTGAGGGGCGCTGATAGGCGGCACTGAGGGGCGCTGATAGGCGGCACTGAGGGGCGCTGATAGGCGGCACTGAGGGGCGCTGATAGGCGGCACTGAGGGGCGCTGATAGGCGGCACTGAGGGGCGCTGATAGGCGGCACTGAGGGGCGCTGAGCTGATAGGCGGCACTGAGGGGCGCTGATAGGCGGCACTGAGGGGCGCTGATGGGCGGCACTGAGGGGCGCTGATGGGCAACAGTGATGGGCAGCACTGAAAGGCAGCTCTGATGGGCACTGATAGGTGGCAGTTATGGGCACTGACAGGTGGCACTAATGAGGCTACACTGATAATCTGGGCACTGATGTTCAGTGTAGATGTCCTCTCTGAAGAATGCCACTTACCGGCTCTCTTCTCCTCTGTCAGTGTGAGGAGAGGACTGCCAATAACTGGCATTTCTTATTTACATGCGATCAGCTGTGATTGGACACAGCTGATCACATGATAGAGCCTGTGTCATCGGCTCTTTACTGTGATTGGTCATTTGCTGTGTTCCAAGGACACAGCGCACCAGTGATCGCCCCAGGGGTGCACATGCGCAGCTAGAGTGGGAAGATGTCATATGACGTCCTCCCTGAATGAGAGAGCCTCTGACCATCCGTCATTTCCTTATATGGCGGGCGGGAGGAAGTAAAGTGAATCTGTCAGGAAAGCTGTTTTGTGTCACAGCCAAGGTTCGAGTCCAGTACAGGAATCTGCAATTCTTTAAAGACTAAGAGGTTGATTTAATAAACTTTAGATCCTCCTCATCTGGGGTACCCTGTTGGCATGTCCCTGGCTCCTCCTCTTCTCTGGTGTGTGCCACCACAGGAAGCTGTGTGTGTCAATGGGAACACAGAGTGCAGTTCGGGAGTGAGCATGCTCCATTGCCCCCAGAGCAAGTGTCTTACTATGGGGGCACTTGAGTGGCAGCTAGGAGCCAGGAGCACAAACGTGGAACCAGGAGAAGAGGAGGATTGGGAATGTGCTATGCAAAAACATTGCACAGACCAGGTAAGTAAGACATGTTTGCTATGGTAAAAAAAAAAAGATTGGTTTACCATCACTTTAAATTAAAAAAAAAAAATTTCGGCTTTACAACCAATTTAACTTCATGATCATGTATGCATATCAAAAAGATTACTAGAAAAAAGCCAAAACTGGATATTGTTTCTTGTCAGCACTGCAGTTTCTTCTTTGGAATCTTAGTAAGTGTAAGAAATTTAGGATTTTCTTAAATGAAAAGTTTCAGTTACATTGGCCAGTAAAGTTTTATTTTCATTGGTAGGACTGCTTTGTGGGCTGGAGAGAGGATTGAGGTTTGTAGAGGTGTACATGACTATGAAGAGACTCTAGGCCAGCACTCCTGCAGTTTCAGCACACACTGTTCTCCTTCCATGCATTGCTATACAGAACAAGACTGGACATGTATCTATTCAACCTCTCCTGTATCCAAAGCACCAGCATGATTCCAAAGAAACAGACCGACATTTAAAACCATCATAATTACTTACAAATGCCTTTAGTCCACAGATTTAACTTTGAGATGAAAGCACATTATAGCTTTCCAATACAGAAGAGTTTTATACTTTAAAAGTATTTGTTATTTTTAGGAATAACTAAAACAAATCTACAGTACCTATATACCCTTACATTAGTTATACTACTTGTTTTGCAAACAATATACTGTATGTCTGTAAGCAGTCCTATTATATAACTGAATGTGTTACACTTACTGGGCTTTATTTATTGAAATGCTGGGAAGAACTGACCATGTTACCCACAGAGAGTAATCAGATTTATTTTTCGTTATGTTCCAAGTGATATTTTGTATCAAATTTGTGTTCAAACGTGATTGTTGTGAATTATCAAAGATGGCTTTTATTTAAGATGCATAATTCATGTTTACAGCATTGTACGGCTTTATGTTTCTGTTTTTATTCCCCTTTTAACATGTCTGCATGAAAATTTGCGAGTGTGAGCAGCCAGTTTCGTTGCACAAAGAGGAAATGATCTATAAAAACTTGACCTGGGGCACAAAAAAGGGCAAATGTCCAAAGCAGCCACTTTTTATCTTTCACTAAATGTGGTTTCTGTGGGTAACATTTACCCCATGCAATGTGGTCATACTTCTTGTTTTGTAAATCCTGCCCCATGACGCTGTACTTATGGACAACAGATTAATTTCTTTCTTTGCTGTGGTTTTATTTTCATTGCTTATTTATTTTGGTGCCCTGGGTAACCAAGTCAACCTCTTGTTTTTCCTGGTCATTATAGGAGAATAAAATGGTAAATCTTGTTGCTCCTGCCAACAAGAACAGTGTCAACTTCAGGCACGTTAGGCTGAATGCCGGTGAGAAATCGTATGCCTTTGAATTCATTCATTTCATTGCCATAGTCCACTTCATGGCATTTGTGATATTGAGGAGAAGGGGTAGAAGTGTATGCCAGTAGGCTGATATACAAATAGAAAAAGGAATCCCTTGAGCATAAGAATAGTTTTTGTTTGTGTACCTTCTACTGAAGGGCTTTCCTCTTTCAGTAGGTAATGGTAATTGCTGAGCACCTCTCCAAGCCCTGCAAATTTCTCAACCGGGGCCAGCAAGAGCACTATTTGGTTAAAGGGGCTAAAATAGGATTCTGCTTTATCTGGGAGACTACTGAAGTGGATTGAATGTAAACCAGCCATGCTTAGACCAAGCTCAATATAACGAATGTAACGGCCTCTGTTTTGCGTTGGAGGCTGGTACTGTAGAAAGCAAAGGTATTCTGTAGACCTTTTTCTACTTTGGTTTGTTTGAAGTAAATAATATAAACTATTTAATCTTTTTTTTCAGATATTGATGAGTGTATGGTATCACCGGATATCTGTGGAACAGCACTTTGTAAAAATTTGCCCAGTTCTTATACCTGTCTTTGTGAAGAGGGGTTTGTATATGATGAAGTGACAAAAAGTTGTCAGGGTAAGCTATAGCAGTATGGGTAAGTTTTCATTGCACAGAATGAAATTTGTTAATTATGGAGCCAACATCTAAATCCAAAATGCATTTTTGTATGTTGAAAATTTGTCTAAAGCCCGAGAATTTAAAAACCTCTCCAGACGGTTCTTTCTGCACTATAAGACAGCGATAAATGTACCGGGTGAATTGTGTACCAAAATTTTCCAGATTCTTGGAAAATCTCCCTATGAATGAATTCTGATCCATTGTGGAAGACCAAAAATGCTGCATGTAGGTTTCTTGAAATCAGGCAGTGATTCCAGTGGGTCTTGGCACTTGTCCAAGTTATGAGGAAGGGAATATATCTTCTCGAGTGATACTCTGAGTGTACTGGTAAAAGTTGCTGTGGAGCCTGGTTTGCCAAAGCTGAACCTGGTTCCTGAATGCTTTCTTTAGTAAGTAAGACCAGTTGAACTACTGCACCAGGAGCTACCTCACTATCCATACTACTGGGGCCTTTTTACATTTTCCCGCCACCGCAGAAGCGGTTAATGTTGAGGAATTGCGCATGGACATAATCTGTTGCTTGGAGTGTCTAGTGCACATTGTTTATCTCACCATTCAGCATAGAGGAAGCCAGGGCTGGGACAAGAGGGGGGGGGGGGGGGGACTGCTGCCCTGGATGCAGGGCGGGAGGGTGTGCCGGATTGTGAGCATACAAATAAATCAATCCACAAAAGCTGTCACACCATGGTATGGTTAGTGTTGCCTGCCCCAAAACAAAGCAATGTGCCCTTGCTTGTTGCCTGCCTCCTATCTGTCACAGCAGCCACGTCCCTCTACAGATAGGAAAAACGTACTCTCTCCTCGATCTCTTGCCAGTCCAGCCAGCTGGACCGGGGCTGACACAGAGGCATTACAGGTGGGCGGACAATAAGAGAACATTATCTTGCAGTCTCGATCATTGCTTCCCACGTAGCGCAGACCAGAGCTCTCCCTGGGGCAAAGTGAAGATGTCAGAACACGTATGGAAGAGTGTATCTTCTTCCCCTGTGAGTCTTGACCTTCTTTGCCTTCCTCACTTTACCATGCTGTGCTGTAAACCTGTCCTGCATCTTGCAATGCAGGTTTATTGACCGTGAAAGTAACATTCTTGATTTAGGAATTAGTGGGATTTTGCATGTGCTACATACAGCAGATGTATTCCACTTACACATTACATCTTATTAAAAATCATCCTTTTTTAATAAGATGTAATGTGTAAGTGGAATACATCTGCTGTATTTAGTACATGAATAATCCCACTGATTCCTAACCTATTAAAAATATGAACATAAACAGCAAGGGAAGTAGTGCCATATAACAGCCTCAACTCCAGCAAAGTAAAAAAAGTCCATCCTTGCAGGGGTCGGGGTAGAAATAGCCTGTTTCACTTACCTGTTTCCTTACTCCAGACAGCTCCAGTGCTTTCCCCTTCCACCCAAAGCCTCAACTTCATCACATACAATACAGGATCATTAACCCTGTTCGGTATGATGAGGAGGCTGGAGTGTGACCAGATCCATTCACAACTTACACAGAAGCTGCAGTCCCAGCACTGGAGGAATCCTGCTGGAGCAGGGAGTAGGGTAAAGCTGGGTCCACACAGATCAAAATTCATCTGGCTCAGCAGGGACCAGCCACATTTTGTTCTGTGTGTAGCCCTTCCTGTTAGAAGCCAATCATTAGATCAGCTGTTGGAAAACCTTGTTCCATCAGCAGTTTGTAGCCAATCAGCTGCAGTGTTTTCTGACAAGGGAGAGTCCCCTCTGTCAGAATACAATGTTCCAGCAGGGAGGATTTCTGCATCCACCTCACTTGTGGGGTTGCAGGAATCTGTCAGCCAGTGGGCTGAAAGGAAAAAGTACTTGTTTACCAGTTTAAAGGTCACTTTTTAGAACATTCAGGGTATAACATGTAACGTGTTCTAGTTGCCCCCCACTCCTCCTCAGCCCCCTCCCCCTCCCATTGGGACAGTGGGCAAAGGTTCTTCTCCCCACACCCTCTGTAACATTTAAAAACAAAAACAGCATGGCCATGTGGGGATCCAGCCATGCAGCTGCATCATTCCTTCACAGGAATCTGTCACTGTAGAAACTACAAGGCCCATCTTCCACTGTAGTAGTAGACAGATTTGTAATTTAAATGAACTGCGGGCACAGAGATCAGCATGCTTGTAGTTCATTCACACTGCCTACAGCTCTGAAAATGACCGTCAGTACAGAGGTATGAGTACAAAGCAGTAGGCAGTGTCTGCATGAGCCAGTTTGCAGGCTCCTGTTTTAAATAATAACAAATACACATTTTTACCTGTAAAATATGTACATTTCTTATTTTTTAAATAAAGGTGAATCTAAACTTTACCTTAATCCTCTGCTCCTAGACTGAGTCAGGGGTGCCCCACTGCAAGGATGGATTTTTTTTTAAATTTTCCTGGACTTGGTATTTAAACCTTATTATGAAAAAGAAATTCAGAGAAGACACTTGGGTCAGGCAGGTACTGTACATAAATGGGTGATTTTGGGTATATATGTGAGTGTATGTATGCATATACAGCATGTAGGCGTGAAATGCCTCATAGGGGGTACTGCTGTACACTAGGGTGTATATACCCCTGGTCTCTGCACTTTGTAATTTACCCACTCCTGCACATTGTATATTACATATATCCTACCCTGCACTCATTATCTGCTCCTGATTACTGCATTCTGTACATTATCTTTGTTTTTGACCCTTGCACTTATACCTTGTAATTTAGCCAGTCCTGATCTCTGCACTGTATTCATAGGTATAATGACCAGGTGAGGTTATCAGGCATGGGCAAGATGAGTAGTCATGCCCAAAGCGGAAAGGGGGGGGGGGGGTTAGGCGACACTTGGCATGTTAGCCCTGGGCGCTGGATGACCTTGTCTCGGCACTGAAGGAAGCACCGTTTGCTGCTCCTGATTGAAAGCAGCTCATGGAGCTCTGATTGCTAGTCCATTCCCACAGCCCTCCTACAATGAACTGGCTATCCGCATCAACTGCCTGAGTTTGTAATGCCTTAGGCCTTGTCTCATACCTTGGGTCAATTTGCAGTACTACTACAATGGTGCAACATGTTTGCGCATAGACTTAAAAGAAACAGTCCTGCTGTTATGGGTGACTCCAGTCCATGCTCCCATTGTTGTTCTGGGGGCTTCTAACTGGCATCTTCTCAGGGTGCCTGTAATCTGAAACCTGGTACCCTGATAAGCACAGGGTCTTCTTCAGCTTCATCAGTTGGGGCCCCTGCCTGGTCTTCAGGGACCTCCACTCAGAACTTTGAACACATGGACTCAAATCTTCATGTACATTGCCTGCAGAGGCTCTAAAAGTGCTCTGGCACCATTCCCAGTAGACTCAAAAGGCTCCTAGCAACTAGTGACACTGACAAAATGTGGAGCTTGATGGGGAAGCTAAGGGTCTAGTTCCCCATCAGGTCCGATATCTCCTTGTGATTGACAACAGGCAGTGAGTGGATCCCCATAGCCCAGGGGTGGCTAACCTGTGGCTCTCCAGCTGCGGCTCTCCAGCTGCTGCAGGACTACAAGTTCCATCATGCCTCTGCAAGTCAGTAACTTCCCATCTTTGCAATGCCTCATGTGAAATGTAGTTCCACAACAGCTGGAGAGCCACAGGTTAGCCACCCCTGCCATAGCCAATAGCAAGCTGTCTGTGGACTAAGGAATCTGCCCACTGCCTGCTTTCAATCAGGAGAGGAGTGGACACAATGGGAAATTGGTGTGTGAATTCCCACCAGGCTTCACCCACCCAGCTGTAAAACTCTTTGATTGCTGTGCTGCCCGTGTGACATATGCAGTGATGGAGAGGGGGTTCAGCTGCACTGAAGATAGTGTTTGTATTCATGTACCTATCCAACAGGCGCCTGAATCTCTCACCTTCTCCGACATCTTTTGTACAAAGGCACAACGGAAGTCTAAAGAGTGCTAGACGCTTTTGGGGTTCTCCAGCCTCGGCTCTGTGCTATATGCCAAGAAAGTTTTACAGATTACTAAAGCTTTCCTTTCATATCAGAGGAACAGTGCCACTAAATTCCCATTAAACAGCAGTGATAATTTGCTTGCCTTTTTACAACTGTACTTGCATATTGTACAAGCAGTAATGCAAATTAGCATTGTTTTTCGTTAAAAAGAAACAAAACTTTGCTTTTCTGCAATCGCATATAACCATCTGTTTGCATTCCAGTACCTGATAATTTTTATTTTTGTGTTCAATATTATTAATAATACAGTAATTGTACTATAGTTTGCAATTCTTTTTGGGTCAATGCTTCTTTTTCTTTAAATAGATATAGATGAATGTGTGGAGAAGCGCTGTGAACAAACCTGTCTCAATACACCGGGTAGTTATTCATGCCACTGTGATGGACGAGGAGGGGTGAAATTGTCACATGACATGAACACCTGTGAGGTATAACTTTTTTTTTTTTTTTTGTCAGTGATTTTTAATATTGTTGGTTACTAATTTATAAGCTAAACTTTTAACCTTGTTTTAATTCTGTACATCAAGATAGTGCTGGTTATACATCTGCTTGTGCGTTCTTCATCGATGAGTTGATTTCTCAGGGTGGGGAAGATGAACAACTGGGACTTTCCATTAAGTTGATCGTTTAAAATAGTTATTTAAAATAAGTTATGTTATCAGCTTCAGGATGTTGCAAACTCCCAGCTGGTGGGATGGCACTGGTATGTAACCTTCACTTAGGCTTGATGGCCTTCACAACCACACCAAAATATTTTTTAGTGAAATGGAAAGCAACAACTAGCTTATGCTAATATTTCTGAATTGTTAGGATAAATGCAGCTCTGCCCTTTACAAGGACTGGCCAAGCCATGCATTTTAACAATTCTGATCTAGATCATAGTATCGCATTATCAAAGTTTGCTGTAGCAATAGGTCTGTTGAGTTGGCTTCTGAGGGAATTTGGCAGGCAATTCTTTTTTTTTTAGTAAAGCACTTTAAGATGCCCCACATTTATTAAGTCATATGGAGGTACATATTGTGTGAATTTCAACACAGAAAAAATCCTGATAGTACTGGGAAGAGTGTAAATATGCAAGCATGTGTACTAATACTGAAAAGGGACTTCTAAAAATTTATTCGCAAATAGAACTCTCTGTAAAGAGACATTTCTGTATTCCTGTATGTAAGTTTCTTCCTGACTAGGGCCTCTTCACATCTGGGCATGGTAGAAATGCACATTTCTGCCTACACTTCTGCAAACGTGCAAAAAACACACACAACACACTTGCGGTGCCATTATTTCTTCACTTTCAATACGTTTTTATTGAATGAAATCCTTTCATATGTTGATTATATTTGTATGTTTATATGTGTTGCACTATGTATTCTACAACAGAGTGCATCCATAAGCCATAGGAGACCATACTGGCGATTAAAGATCAATGAGTATGACATATTGCATGTTGGGTTTACAGTAATGATACACATTATAAGAACAACAAAAGGAAAAAGGGGAAGGTGGGGGGCAGTGCCATTATTTCCTAATGGCACTCCATACACAAGTAGTAGTTGTGCATTTTCCATGCAACAAAAAACACTCAAATGCACAAAAATGGCCATCACAAAACGTGTTTAGTTCAGTGCAAAAATTTGGTACATGAGCTTCTTTAGCATGTTTTTGGAGCAGAGAGAGGCCCAATCAAAGGAATGGTGCCACTCCAAAAACTAGCAAAAACAGAACCCACTAAAAAGGCCCTGAACATAAATGTGCGTCACTGACATAGGGCAGGTAATTCTGGCTAACACATAAAGTGCAAGAGCGCTTTCTGTGGGACTCTATACAATTTCTCTGCTGTTCATTATTTAATCCTCCATTCATAGTAAATTACACAATCTGTAAAGACATATTTGTTATGGTCTTACAGTTTGGGCTGTCAATAGCTATAGTGGGTTTCACAGTGATACAGGGTTAAGATAGTGAAGACTCTTTTATTGATTAAGGCCCCTTTCAAACGTGTTTCATCTGTTCAGTCAAATTTTTGCTAAGAAAATTATTGATGAAAAAGAATTTAAGATTCTATCAGTTAACATCAGTTTGCACATCAATCTTCAGTTCAGTTTTACATCAGTTTTCATTTCAGTTTATATTAGTATATATCCAGTTTTACATCCCTTTTTTAAGGCCCTTTCACACGCAATACCTGTTAAACACCTGTGCTCAGTGGCTACAATTATTAACTAAATTCCTCAAAATGTTAGCTGATGTGTGTAAAACTGTGTGCTTTTCATAAAATGTCATCTTTAATCACAGTGCTTTAAACCAATAATTGGGCAAAATGCTAAATTATTAATTAATAACTGATGTCCGTACTATGAAACGTACATTGAGGCAGGGTTACAGGAAGGAATGCTGGACTGTTGGAGACACCTGGCTGTTGTTCGAGGTCCAAGTAATCGAAGGCAGTAACAGAACTTGCACTTGTCATAGTGAAGCCAGTGTTTGTATGATATAAACTGCATAACCCGGATGAGGGACGGAATGCACAGTCAAATGTGAGCATGATAGCTTATGGATTTTAGGCTGTATTTTGTCGGTTGCCTAAATAAAGTTTTTTTTGTTACATTAATGGAGCCCTTTTATCTCCTCTGTTTTTTTTTAAAAAAATCCCTGATCGTGGTGAGGGGAAGGATTGGGGGTACCTTGGATAATTAGCCCCTTGGAGGAAAGCGCTGATTGACCTGTATGTGGTGGTGGCTCATGAGACAAGAGCACTGTTTGAAGGATTCTTTGATTATCCACATTTGGTTTGCAGTCTGCACAGAGCACTTTTTGAACTGTATTGCACAAGATAATGGATAGCTGCAAGCATAAATTGAAGGATGTCATTAACCACTTGTCTGCTGAGCACTTTTACCCCCTTCCTGCCCAGGCCTATTTTTAGCTTTCAGTGCTGTCGCACTTTGAATGACAATTGCATTGTCATGCAACACTGTGCCCATATGAAATTTTGTATCTTTTTTTTTCACACAAATAGAAATTTCTTTTGTTTGTATTTATGCACCACTGGGTGTTTGATTTTTTTTTTTTTCTAATCAAACAAACAAACAAACAAAAAAAGACCAAATTTTGAAAAAAAAAGTTTTTCTTAGTTTCTAATATAAAATTTAGCAAACAGGTAATTTTTCTCCTTCACTGTGTGTTGATGAGGCTGCACTAATGAGGCCGCACTGATAGGCATTGAGGAGGCACTTGTGAGCTGCACTGATATGTGGCACTAATAGGCAGCACTGAAATGCATTGACAGGTGGCACTGCTGGGCACAGATTGGCGGCACTGCTGGGCATTTTTGGGGCTTCGCAGATAATCGGTGCCTTGATTATCAGTGTAGATGTCTCCTTTCAGACCTACTAATAATGGAAAGTACTGCTGATAACCAGCACGTGTATTTACACGGTGATCAGCTGTGATTGGACACAGTTGATCGCGTGGTAAAAGGCCGCTGTGATTGGCCCTTTACTGTGTCATGTGATCAGCTGTGTCCAAAAGACAAAGCGATCCTAGAGAGCGCCGCGTGCATGCCACTGGGAGCGTGCAGGGTGGTACTGTTCTGGGAGAATGTCATATGACGCCCTCCCAGAACTGGACAACCACACTGTAGCCGTCATTCGACTATAGCGAGCGTGGTTAACATGTGGTTAATTAATGGATGCTTTTATTTAATTTTGCACTACATGGGACATTATGTATTAATATATAATTTTAGCATTTTTGCACAATTGGTGGTTTAAAGCGCTGTGTTTAAGGACAAAGTTTTCTGGAAGCCTTTCACACGGATATCATCCGTTCAGTCACTTTTTTCAAAGAAAAAAACATTCAATTTACATCCGTTTGCACATCCGTTTTCAGTTCAGTTTAAGTTTATATCAGTTCGGTTTACATCAGTCTGCATCGGTTTTTGCATTAATTTTTTCTTAGTTATTGCAGAGACCAACAAGAGGTGATAAAAGTATAAACAAAAAATGTTTGTTGCCTAAAAACAGACATAAGTGGAACAAATGTAAATGGATGGTATCCGTGTCAACGGACCTGAACAGACATGGATGTTGGCAGGTGTAAACGGACAATCATCCATTTTCATCTCCCCACCTATAGACATATGTTGTAGTTCATTCTGGATCCATCTGAACAACTGACAGATCTAGACTAAACGCTAGTGTGATAGGTTTCTGCAACAACTAAGCCCCCTATCAGAGGTGACAGTTGTATAAACCAAAAATGGTTCTTGCCTAAAAACGGACATAAATGGAATGGATGTAAATGTTTGTTTGCATCTATTCTGTTCTGTTTCAATGCATCTGGACGTTGAGTATTTCATTAAGATAAAAAAAAAAGAAACTGAACAAACACGGATGTGAATGGATGAAAATCCGTAGAAATTAATTGCTGCCGGTTTCTTCATCCATTAATAGACGGATAAAAAACAGACAGACGGAAACGCTTGTGTGAAAAGGGCCTGTTTGTTGATTTTGGGTCTGCTACTACTAATCCTCAGCTATTTGTAGATATGGCAGTGAATGTGGCTTGTTATATGGGTTACTAGGGCTCACAATAATTAAGATCATACAATCACATAAATTGTTTGGCAGAACCAGTATTGTATTTCTTGTATCCTTAGCAATGTAGCATTTATACTGCTTTCTGCTCACAGGATATAATTCCATGTGTTCCTTTTGCAACGGAAAAAAGCAAGACATCCCTGTACCTAGGCAGGATGTTCAGTGGTACGCCTGTGATCAGGCTTCGCTTTAAGAGGAAGCAGCCAACTAGGTAAGGTTTATACATAAATGCATGAAGATGAGCTTTTATGGCTTGGGACAGGATATGGTGACTTATATAAAATGTTTTGGGTTTTTTTTTCCATATTTGCTTGTGAAAATCATTTTTGGTATCTTCAGTCTCATTTGAACTATTACAGCAATTACAGATTATATTGTATTACTGCCCCCCTAATACTAATATGATAATTCAATTTTCCTCTGTTTGGCTTATACACACCTGGCCCCCTGCCTTATCTGGATTTCTTTCTAAAACATTGCTTGACATTTTCAGCTTTCTCCATTAGGTTGAAAGCAAATGCTGGCACATGTAAGAACAGACTTAAAATTTGGCTTTAGAATTTCTACTTGTTGGCCCAGTTCATGGAAACAGTCCTGATGTCTTTTTCTGAAGAATTTCCCAACACTGTAAATAATGACTTTAGTGGTTTTTATGATTTCTCACTCTTTTTTGGCGTGCAGCTTACACTGACACTGCTCATAGGTCTTTTGAATTTTTAACTTTAAGTCTCAGACCAGGCTGATGTGAAAATAATTGCAATGATGTTTACTTTTGCTTACTTTCAGCTAGAAATGTGCAAAACATGGTGACAGGTGTGACCTGTAACACATGAGAAGTAAATTTAACTGTGTGTACAGCAACACTGCTTACTGTGCTGCCAAAACATACAAATGAGATCATATATAAACTAATAAATACATAGAAACAAATAGCACTGCTGCCACCAGGGATCCGGAATCCAGTCTTCATGTAGCTGCTCTTTTGCATCTCTGCTTTTGCTTGAGGCCTGTAGTATGAATCCAATCAAGAAGAAAAGGGGTCCATTAGATTAGCAATACAATACCCAGAAGTATCCATTATTAACCATTTGCATACGAAGGCAATTTTATAATCATTTGCTTACATGTTAAAATGTGGATTTTTTTTCTTAGAAATTATTTTAAAACCCCCCAGAGTATATACTTTCTAAAAGCAGAGAACCTGGAGAAAAAAATGGTGGCTGTTGCAATTTTTTAAGTTGCCTAATATTTGCACAGCTATTTATGAAATGCATATTTTCAGAAAAAAACATATTTAAAAAAATATTTAAAAAATTAAAGGATGCCACGCTATTCATTCCAATAAATATTGATCACACGCTAATAATTGTATAAATTGTTTTACACACACAAAAACTCAATCCAAATAATACATAAATCCATATAATAATAAAGTTTTGTACCTTAAATTATCTCAATGAATTATAAACGTGCAACATCAAACCCATATTCAAATGTGCTCCTCTATAAGTGCACAACCACTATTGTTCAAAGATCTACAACATATAGTGCCCGTGAAAATAAACTGTAAATAAATAGTCCCTATTGTATTGATTCATGCACCAGATTGTGAATCTTCACCATGATTAATCCTTAACACATCCCCATTTTTCACCTGTTCAGTGGCCGCCACCACCACCTCTTATATATTGCTGTCACCTTATAACCTTGACCCAATATGCTTAACAGATGAAAACATGCTTTTCCCCTCAGGTGGTGTTGAAATCCTGGCTCTAAGGCTACGTTCACACTAGTCTTGTTAGCAAGTGGCAGACAGGCGTTTGGGAAGCGTTTTTTACCATTTTCCCAAATGCCTGGGAAAATTCTGCACATTGCAGCACATTGTGCTGTTCAAACAGGAGCGTTTGCATCGCGTTGCGCCGCGCCAAAACAGACGCCTCTAGTCGAGTCAGGAGGAATTGAAGCCTCCTATTCAAGTCTATGGTGCCGCTCCACAAACGCCCAGCCAGCGTGTGCGGTTGGGACGCGGTTTGCGGAGCATTAACACCATTCAGACTTTATTATAGGCTTTTGTGGGGCGTTTTTAACTCTCGGTAAATGCCTAGCAACCGCTGCTGAACCACGCATGTGGTGTTTACACTCCGCAAACGCCAGACCAACGCTTGTCAAATGCTATAGGGTCATTTGGCAAGAGTTGGAAAAACAGTCAAGTGTGAACGAGACCTTAATCAGTTGCTTGAATGCCTGTGAGGCAGTGTATGGAATGGTACCAACACAAGGTCTGGTTCACTGTGGAGGTATACCCCTTTAAGAGGTCGGGGTATCCACTCAAGTGCTGTAATGCTAGGTTCACACCTATGCAGTTTTGCGTTTGACCCATTTCTGCTTTGCGTTGCGATTTTGCACCTGCATTTTTACCTCATTTTTTATGCGTTTTTTTTTTTTCATGTTGCTAGGCAGATTTAATACGCATCAAAATGCAGCAAAAACACATTACATGCTTTTCTGGAGCGTTTCCATTGAAGTCTATAGAAATAAATGCAACTTTTTGCATTTAAAGTCCCTGACCCTTTCCAAAAAACGCACCAGGCGAAAATTCAGAGATGTGAACCTGTCCCTTAGGAAATCATGTTAAATGGACTGTAGTGCCTTTCTGCAAAACGCTGCGGAAAACACTTAGGTGTGAACCTAGGGTAATGAGGCTGAGAACAGACAAAGGTCCTCAATAGTGTAGTACTTTTAAAATCAAGTAAATTTATTATAGTGTTGCACTCAAATGTATTAAAAACAGCGTTTTACGTCTAAAAGATGAGCAACAGGCATTTCCTCGCTACTTCTGGCATCAGATCACAGTGACATCTCCCAGTTCCCCCCTACGCGTGTTGTCATGGTATCATGTGACTTCTTCAGGGGATTCTGAGTATTGTATCTCTGTGTTTACGGTTTTGTCTTGTGCCTTTTTATAAGCAAAGATAGACCTATTTAAAGTTGTGGCCATACAAATAAATCAAGCTTGCACCCTTTTACCTCTTGCCCCTTCAACCAAAAGAGAAGCTCTTCTAACATAATGTAGTTTGCCTATTGCAAATAAATAATACATTGTTCTGCCCATTCTAACCTTGGGGAAAGCTGGTTTCTGATAGGTTGCTGTGTGTGCCCAACTGCATTTTGAATAAATAAGACATAATCTATTTCTTTTTGTTAGACTTGTGGCAGAGTTCGAATTTCGTACTTTTGATCCAGAAGGAGTGCTGTTCTTTGCTGGAGGCCATCAAGACAGTGCATGGATAGTTCTAGCTCTGCGTAATGGAAGGCTTGAATTACAGCTGAAATACAATGGGATTGGACGAGTAACAAGCAGTGGGCCAATCATAAACCATGGTATTTGGCAAACCGTGAGTATATCTTAGGTTGGACTTTGCTTTGGCAGGGTTGGAAATTCATCTTTGATTCAGCATTAAGGTAACATGTGCTGCACGTAGTGCTGTCTTGGTGTCACCTAATAATAAATTGCAAGCTAGGGAGCCAAGTTATGAGCAATTTAAAATTAATGATATGCAAAAAAATGTGTCTCATTTGATGGCCACTATTTTGACAGCTATACACAATATCTCTACATTGAATAAGACTAGGACTAGTCGCAGGAAAAAAACTTGGATGCCTCGATTAAGCATAAATTTAGTTTAACAGATTGAAAAATGTTACCCTGCTTCTTTGACAGGTAAAAGCTGTACTATTGAATTTATTTAGGTTTGCCTGGAGTTCAGCTTTAAAGGGGGTCTTTGAACTTCCTTGTTAACATTGCAGTGGAAGATTTTATTCAGGAATTTTTACACGTGTACCTTTTGCATAATGATGACATTGATAATAAATTCATTCCCCTGTCTTAACATTACAGGACAGTGTTCAGCCAATCATACTGACTTTCTTATATTAACATTTGCTAAATAAAGGTGTCAGAATCTTGCGTTCTGAATTTGCATGTCTGCAGTTATATGACCTGTATTGCTTAAAGCTTCCCATAGTTCTAAAAGTGATTATTTCCTAATGTAGTCTGTTGCAATGGAAAACAATTGTATCCCTGTTTTTCTGGAAAAATCTTTTTCAGCTCAGGCCAGTTAGAGAGTAGATTATACCTGCTTATCCAGTTGTTTCCCGAAGTCAATGACTAATTTAAAGGGAATTTGTGAGGATTTTAGGGTAGCAATCATTTCTATTTATTTATTTTTTTTTAAATTAAAGTTTGAGTTTCTGACTCTATTCCTTACCCTGTTGCATATCCCGTAAATTACTGACCTGGAACAAGTATGTGCGGTCAGCAGACCAGGTCCACTGGCTGTCACTGACCCGATCATTACTAAAGGAAGGACATGAATGAAGCATGCATTTAAAAGTGGGGTTTTTTTTGTGTTTTGAAAAGAAAGGGTAAGGGCCTAAGAGGTAGGCCAGAGTTTTATTGCTGTCTATGTTCCCAGTGGGGAAATTGCCATCTCTGTGTTGTGATGATCATCGTCACTGGGTCTCAAAGTAAGGAATAGTAGGTTGTCACAGCAATAGAAATAATGTATGGATCTTCTAGTATGGACATTTATGCCACTGACAACTGTCTAAGAGGGGAATATCCCTTATTTTGAAAAGACTTCCTCTTTCTGTCTCTCTGGGTCAGAATGTGAATGTAATTCTTCCTAGTGGGACATAGATGGCAAAAGTTGACAATGGGAGTTCACATATTTCTCCTCACATGTTCCCTTTAAGAGTTTCTGGAGGTTTCATTAGCCCTAATGTTTAGATTTATTGCTTTATTTAGAGAACTGCCATTATCTTTATCATACAGTACATGATATTGGAATGGATTCACAGACCATGGATGTATATGCTGCTATCTTCAGGTGATTAGACACTGGCAAAATCTTCCCTGGGTCCACCCCTCCTGTCCCATATAACTCTAATAAAAATTGGACCCTTAAAGAGTTGGCAGTGTCCTTAGGTAATGGATGCCTTCCCCTCTTGGGAAAGATTATCCTACTGTGTCTTCACCAGATTTAATTGCCTCCTTTGATTAAAACTTCTATTAAGATCTGAGCACGTACTACCCTTGGGCCACTTTGGGAACTGTACCAGGACCCTGCAGTCTTTGGGCTTGCCTGTAATATTTGCTCAGGTACTGGATCCTGTGTTTGGCACCCACCTTGGCACATAGTGCAACAAGTAGAGTTGTCCCCAGGGTGCTATACAGGTCCAGGACTGTGGCCCACCCAACAACATTCAGGCCCTGAAGACCCCGGATATGCTCGCTGTGATCGGCGAAGCCTGGACCCTGACCGGGACCAGTGATGTAGACAAGGTTAGACAGGGTTTCCCTTTACCCTTTAGGATACCAGTTCCTGGCTTTTATGTCTTGATGGCTGTGTAATATAAACCAGATCCTTATTTTTCAAGACTTACCACTGTACTCTGCACACAAGTACTACTAAGGACTTGTGTCTTCCCAACTGTATTGTGTCATTCTTTGGCCTAATGTGTAACAATATTATAATGCTTACCTATTCAAATTTGGTGGCTCTTTTCCACCTCCCAACTGAAGTTCCTTTCTGGCTACTGATTTATTACTTTTAAGACTCTTGTCTGTGCACATCTGGACACCATTTTCTGCTGAAATCGTAAGCGGATCATTTGCCACACCACTTGTTGCCCAACTCCAAAAGCAAACCGCCATTGGAACTCTGTTAGCACCTGGGTTACTGTTATTCCTTCATACCAGACACAAACTCCCCTAATCCATTTCCATTTTGTAAGTACCCTTGCTTAGCAGTGGAGGATTAAAGGTGCTTGCAAGCGAGAACACACAGGAAAGAGGTTCCTAGAGTTTTCTTCTCTCTGCTGTTTAGGAACCTACGTCCTTACCCTCTTGCCATATGTGGGTTGCTGTGGATTCATTGATTGAGGCAGCGCATCCATGTCCCTGGATAGATACACTTAGTGTTGCACAGCTCCATATGCTAAAAAGATTCTTTAAGAAGAGGATCTTCTGAGAAAAGCCCTTTCCCACTCTGGATCAGGCAAGTTAAGCCTTATGCAATGATTGGCCAAACTCAGAGGTTATTTCACCCTCCTGATAATTTCAAAGTCTTGTATCCTATGGATGCAGAATTTGGCAAAATATGGTCCATCCCCAGTGTGTTTTTGGCCATTATTGCACTTAATGCTGACTCTACTATCCGATTTGAGGGTACCCCCCCGTAAAGACTCAGTGGACAAAAGTGTGGAGACTCTTCTAAAAACCTCCTTTGTTCTAGCAGGCCCTGTCCTACCACCAGTTGCTGTCACTTTAGCAATTGCCAAAACTATGGCTAACTGGGCAGGAGAAATTTATGATAAACTTTTACCTGAGATAGACAACCTAAATCTTTTCTCAAGGTTGCATTTGTTATCTTCAGCCCTTATATTGTGTGTGTGTGTATGGAGTGGAGAATCAGAATGTATTTTCTTTCTGTGCATATTTACAGAATCCTATGGCTTAAAGCATAAGAAACTGATCTGGTATGGGGAAGATGCCTTTTGTGCATGCCATGTGAGAGCAAACATCTCTTTGGCAGGTTCCTTGATGAATACATTGAGAAAGGTAGTACTGATGGCAGAGGGTTCACACCCCATTATCCAAGATCACAGTTTGCTTTGCATTACGTATCTCTTACTCTTGGGTTCCCATCCATGCACACTCTCATCTACTGCAGGTCCTTCTGGTCCTGGCAAACCTTCCCTCTCTAAGCCTTCCAGAGCTGTAAAAAAGCCTTCCTCATGCAAAAATGGTCACCCCCTCCTGTGGGGGGTAGTCTACAGACATTTACCCCAACTTAACCACTTCCCGTCCAGCCCATGTACATAAACGGCTGGACGGGAGCAGTGCAGGACCGGGTGGTCGTTTATAAATGTCCTCCCCGCTCCCCACCTGTGCGCGCTCCCTGGGAGCGTGCAGCACCACGATCCAGTGCCTGCTGGGTCCTCCAGACACAGCAGAACACTGATCGCAGTACAGGACCTCTGTGTGAGGTCCCGATCATGTGATCACGGATTGGCCAATCAGTGATCACATGAATAGTAGTAAGCAAGATGTCACTTCTGACATCATTGCTTACTACGTGTGAAATCTGTGAATGATCACAGAGGTCACATGGCACAAGGTTATTCACAACAGCGTTGTACCATATGACAAGCTGTGACCAATCACAGTTTGCACAGTATTTCTCAATGGCTGCAAGAATACAGCCAGAGAGGAGGAGAAATTATTGCTTTTATAGCCTTTATGGGTGTAAAAGCAATTAGTGTAAAAAAGAAAAATCTTCATCACCCCCCACAAGTAATAGTACAGTGTCACTATGGTGACACTGTACTGTTAGCGTGACAGTATGTTAAAAAGAGAAAAAAAAACAATATTATAAAAAAAAAAGAGGCTAGTCCTCGAAATGTGTCAGCCATTTTGGATGTCTATCATTCTCATCATCATTCAGAAACGCAGTGTGAATTGGACAGAGCGGTCTCATATGATGTGCTTATATTCATGTACTTTTGTGAGTAGAATTCCCTTCTTTTAATTTAATAAACATATTTTTAAAGGTAATGCACAAGGCCGGTGCACCCTCTGTTTTGTTTTTCTCTAATGGTGACACTGTACTGTTAAGGTGACAGTATGTTAAAAAGAAAAAAAAACATTAATATATAAAAAAAAAAAAAAAAAAAAGTCAATTTTTTTAAAAAATTATAATTTTTGGTTATAAACTAATTTGGGTTATTTATTTTTATTTTTTTTACTAAAAATATAGATGAATACATTTTGGCCAAAATTTATGAAGAAAGATTATTTGCAAAATTTTATAAGAAAAACACTTTTTTTTTCCAAAATGTTTGAAATTTTTCATTTATATAGCAAAATAAAAATCCCAGTGGTGAATAAATACCACTAAAATAAAGTTTTATCTGTCTCAAAAAAAATGCTAAAAAATGCATATGGGTAGAGTGTTGCATGATGGCGCAATTGTCATTCAAAGTGTGATAGCGCTGAAAGTTGGCCTGGACAGGAAGTGTCCGGACTTGAAGTGGTTAAAAAAGAAATGTTAAAACAAAAAAAAATCTCCCTGTCACCTTTTCAAGGAGATGTATAATGATTCTTAATTGTCTCTCCATTTTTACATGCCTGAAAAGAACAAGATTTATTAACCCCATTCTCGCTTTATCATTACAATAGGTGTTCGTTTCCTTTTCCTACTCAGGAAAAGATTTCAGGGCTTAACAACCCTTAAACAGGAGCTTCTCTCCTTGAAAGTTTACATACCATATTGAATAAGATGCATTGGCATGATTTATTTTGGTAGCCAAGCTTCCACGAGGTGCCCTATGT